GAGGTTCAGTGGTTCTACATCTCTTGTCTCTGTTTTTGGATCCCTTGTTTGGTCTGTGTGTGTTTGCTGTGGACTGCCATTTAGAGATCATCTGCTGTTAAAGCTGCTCGAAAATGGACTCTTTTGCTTTCTGATGCTGGTTCTTATGGTTTGATCTTAGGAAGGGCTCTGGTTTCTTGTTATAGTGCTGCAAGATACCTGGTCTTCTTGCTAAGATTGTATTGTTTAGGCGTCATTTAGATATCTTTTATTTTCCTCTCTTTTATTTTTAGCTTTCTTGAGTCTAGAGCACTATGTAGTGTCTCTCCATTGTTGTTGTACATTTCCGTTTATTGGGTCAGTGGACCTACGATTTGTAAAACTCTATTTGTGTTGCTATGAGATTCCTATCGTTTCAAGAAAAAAAAAAAAAGTTTAACTAGTTTTCATCTCTTTAAGTTGCTCGAAATTGTTCAAAAACTTCACAAGAAATGTAATTATGTCTCTTGACTTTCTATATTTTAAAAATCAGTCCAAAAATATTCTCTGCATAAAAATTATGTTCATTCTACTGGGACTGCACATGAGTAATATGTTAAATTTTTTTACAGCAACAAAGGTTGTGTGTTGGTTGAAGTTTCACCCTTTAAAAGGCTTCATCTATGTGTCATATTTAAATTAAAGTTTAGATGTATGTCTTGAGATCACTTNACTCTACCCCTATAAAGATTATGGATTCAGGGTTTTTTCCCGACATCTTAAATGTGATATTTTGTACTTTTAATCTTTCATTTGTTTTCCAAAAATTAAAAGGTAAAAATATGATTTCCTTTTGTTTTTCTTATTAAAAAAATGTTTAAATATTATAGATTCATGTGTTTTCCAAAAAAAAAAAATCATTATGATTTCCTTCCTACAATCTTTCGTACCTCTAGAGATTATAGATTCACGTGTCTTTTTATTCAAATATTTAAATGTTATATTTCGTACACATAATCTTTAATTTGTTCCCAAAAATTGAAATATATATTGCCAAAATATTCACGCGTTTTTACTTAATATGTATATCCAAAAAAAATGTGATTTGATTTTACATATTTTTCGAAAATTTCTATTAATGAAAAGTCAACCAATTTAATTAAAAAGTCAAAGTTACTATTTCAATATATTTTTAACTAACCTATTTATATTAGTACAAATATAGATATATACATATATACAGGGTTGGATTCACATGAGAATGATTCTTAATGCGAGAAATGAGAATAGATCGTAGCCATTAGATCATCCGATCTAATGGCTAAAATAAATGCTAAAATTATACCTTCATTAAGGGTAATGAAGTAATTGTACACATACCAACTACCAAACATTAATGGGCCCCACAAAATTAATACGTTACCATTACCACTCCCCAGACCCCATCCATCTGTCACCAACCTCACCACTTTTCTCTCTCACACACACTCTCACTCTCTCACACACATGCACGCGACACACACACCAGACACACATTCGCCGGCGGAACCTTCAGCCATGTCGTCGCCGCTGATGTCATGCTGCCACCACCGTCACGAATATGCCTCTGTCACGCCTCCGCTGCCACTGCCACCGCCGAACACCATCTGCAAATTTCCGTCGATTCCTCCGTCGCTGCAACGATGTCTTCAGTCGTTTCGACTCATCTCCAGCGACCTTCCATTCGCCGCCAATCTGGACTCAACGGACAGCCCTCCGCCGCCGACGACTAACTCCGGCGACCTTCATTAGCCACCAACTCAACCTTCCACCAACCCCGAACAAGAAGTTCCTCCGGCCCGCCGCTCAGCTCCGACGCCGAGAAGGTCATCTCCTCCAGCGACACTCTGCACCGGCGCATCATCCCGGACGGTCGGCTCACGACGGTGAAGTGGCGGCCGGACTGAACATTGATGTTGGATTTGGCAATTTTTTGGAAATTTGATAGTTTATAAGGACTTGATTGCAATTACAAGATTTTATATTATATTTCAGTTTAACCCATGGGTTAAATCTGTAATTATAAAAAGTATATAAAAAATAGTACTTTTATATGTTTTTTGCTACATGTATGTACATTGTGTTTTTTGTAACAAAAATAAATTATAAAAATATATAAAAAATATTTAATTAATAGATACATTTTTATAATATTAAATAATAGTTTATTTTAATTATTTTCATTAATTTGATGTACAATTTTATCTAGTAAATATAATGTTAAAAAAACACATACTTTATATGTGATCACATAAAGTAGTGCACTTTATATTTCAGCATAATGCACTTTATAACACAAAACGTTGCACTTTATAAAGCAAATCGTTGCACTTTATCACCAGACTCCATAATTAAAATTCATATTGTTGGACAAAAAAAATATTTAGGTCAATTTATACTATAAATAATTTGATAAAATTTTAGTATGTAAATTTTAAGATATAAAAAATATTAAAATAATAAATATACTTTTATAATAATAAATAAGAAATTATTTCAATTATTTAGATCAATTTGATGTACAACTATATCGACTAAATCAATTTTTCACTAACACACAACTTATATTTGATTGTATAAAGTAGTGCACTTTATATATCATCACGATGCATTTTATAAAACATCACGTTGCATTTATACAACAACCAGTTGCACATTATATAACACTCACCGATTAATGTCATTGGCACTCCCGCTAAAACTGTTACACAACATAAATTTAAAAAATAGATAAACATAATAATTTAAAATCAATCACATCATTTATTCACACAAACCACAAGCACGTTAACATACCAAAAGTATATTACTTCAATTTATACTTCAGCATGTTGCACTTTATAAAATAACATGTTGCACTTTACACAACAATATGTTGCACTTTATCACGACTACCAGATTACACATCATAGATCGAACCTGACCGTAATCATAAAATTTCAACAAAATATAATATAAAAATACTAAGTAAATTTATTCATATATGAAATATAATTTTAATATAAATATCAAAGTATTTCTATTATTTATGATAATTTGGTTAACCCAACCGAATAAACTAATTAATTATGTTCATTTTCAATTTGATTTGAAACAAAGGTTCCATTTGCACCGATCGAACATTATTATTATTATTATTATTATTATTATTATTATTATTATTATTATTATTATTATTATTATTATGCACCGCGATTGCACAATAACGTTACACGAATTGCACCTTAATGATTGTCTGGTTGCACAATATTTACTAAAGTCAATCGAATTAAATTGTTCGGCACAACATTTAATGATTTGGCCTGAGTAAAATATTTCTACTCTTAAAATCTCAATTATAATTTGCATTTATCACATAATATTATCTATTTTTTTAGCATTATCGTACATTTAGTATATTTTTATAAATTATGTATTTGACCCAAGTACTAAATTGAGATTTATTAGACCTTTTAAAATTGCGATTGAACCCCGTGTATATATCTAATTCTCAAATAGATGTCCCAACTCATAAACACCATTCACCATCATCTCGCCACCAGCACCCACCTGCAGCAAACTCCTCTCCGACGACCGGCCATATGCAGCCGGAGGACGAACAGTGGACGTACATAGCCCCTGAGTCCTCAAAACCAAATTTAACGACAGATGAAGAGGGTGGCCAGAAATGAGACGGCCACTTTCGACGATGTTCTCGAGTGCGGAGGCGTCCCCGAATTTACGAAGGCGACTGTGCGTGGTCGGAAGGCGATGGATTCGCCGAACTGTTTCTGCCGGAGGTTCGTAGCCCATTTCCGATAACGGCCTTCGGTGGCCCGACGCTGTGGAGCCGCCTCTGACAGGATGAAGATGGGCGGAGGATGGGCTGGTTGGTGTGGCGGCCGAGATGGGAAGCTCCGGTGGCAGATCTGGACCTGCGCGACGGTCGGTTGGTTACGGTTGTTGGGAATGGTGGCGACGACATCGGACAGACTGTTTCCTGTGGTGGGCGGAGTATGGGGGCGGAGAGTGAATCAGCGCTGCCTCTGACGGCGGTTGGCGGCAGACAGGTGTGGCGCCAGAGATTACTCAGATCGTGGAATTGTGTGTGTGTGTGTTGGTGAGAGAGAAAGGGTTGGTGCATGTGTGCGGGTGAGAGAGAGGGTTGTTGGAAGGGATTGTGGTGGGACCCACCTGATATATTAATGAATACATAATTAACACTTTGTCCTTAATTAATGGTTAATTACATATATTTGACCATAAAATATCTTCTTATTTATCGTACTGCCATCTCATGTTTGACTGCATTATTAATGTTTGATTTCATCATAGCCATTGATATGTTGGATCCAATGATCTACAATTATTCTCATTTCTCGTATTAAGAGTCATTCTCATATGATCCTTTCTCTCTCTCTCTCTCTCTCTCTCTCTATATATATATATATATATATATATATATATATATATAGATCCCTCTTCTCAATAGGAGTAAAGAAAAAAAATTGTTTATAAAACTGAAGCATTTAGTCAATCGCTTTGGAAATAGAGATAATAAATTAACGTACCATATATAGAAACAAAAAACTATTAGGCTAAGTTTGGATTGAAAAATTTAATGAGGAATTTGAAATCCATAGATTTCAAATTTATAAGTTCAAATCCTCATGCATGTTGGGATGGTAATGAAAATTGTCATGCTAGACCTAGTCATTTGAAATCCACTGTTTATCACCGTTGACGACCACGCCGCTCGCGATCATTTAGGTTCATCACCACCACGAATCAACACCATCGATGCGAGCTAAACAATTGATTTATAATATTTTCAACACATCCATTCAAAGAGTGTGCAAGTAAAAAAAATTATATTTCAATATTTGAATCAAGGGATTTCAAATCCCTCAAAACAAACGGGTCCTTAAAGAAATTGACAATAACACATCACATTGATCAAAGGATGTATGATACACTACAGCTGCTGTTGATTATACACATAATCTAACACACAACACATTAATTTAAGGCGATAATACAAAAAGCTTTCCAGATACATTAACCAAGGGTATAAATCACACTTTTAACCGAAGCTTTGACAATCCTAATAGGATATGCTTCAATTTAAATTTAACCATAATGATTGATCTTGACAAACCTCGGCGGCGTGTGAAGGTGGTAGGGCCCACACCCCCCAACCGAGCCGCTTTTCCCCAAACGACGCCTCGTGTGGTTAAAAGGGCTAAACCCACAAGGATAAACATAGTGACCATAAAAATCCCTCGTGTCATCATTCTCGTCATCTTCACATTCCATTTGGGCCAAGACTTTGACAAAAAGGTCAACCTCACAAGGCAGGTGCAAAGGGCCCGTGTTCGCGAACCCGTACTCCAGCTCAGCATCCTCGAGCAGCATTCTGAACAAAGGGTGGTTCACGAATTCGGTCTTGATCACGAACCTCTGCTTCTCGGGCCCCACGTAAACCGAGAAACATCCGGTTGGAGCTATTCTATTCGCCTTTTGGCGGCTCTCGTTATTTTCGGTCGACTTTTTGCCGATTGATAGGCATTTTTCGAGTTTCTTGAGTATGGAATTAGTTTTCGTCTCTCTCTTGTGTTCACCTTCCATGTACTTTGNAAAAAGAAAAAAAAAAAAGGAACAGTACTTCTTTTTGGTGGTGGGCCAAATTCGATTAAAGGTTGCAAATTCAACCTCTATCATAAGCCAGATTAAACATGGACCTCATTCTTGGCTCTCTTGTGTTGCTCATCACTACTTGAAATGGAAATTCAAGATGATAATAGGTAGATAACGAACTTATCTAACTGCGAATCAAATCAAAGGTGTATTATTAACGAAAACTAGGTTCATGAGGGAGAAATAAATAGGCAGCAGCTTACCATTTTGAGCACATGAAAGGACATGAAAGTCAAATTTGACACAGGTGGCGTATAAATATTCTGCAAATCTAAGGATAAAGTTGAGAGTTGAGGCTATTATATGGTTTCAACTGGGCAATATCAGAACTAGACAGGCACCTCTATTATATAGTCCCATATATATCATCTTAATAATAAGGCTGTTTGTCAACGCCAATCAATGAGATTTTTATATAATGGAGCAAAATACATGTATCTTTTTGGAAGTTCGCACTAAGGACAAAATAAAGGTGGGCTTTGGTAATCTTTNGATAAAATTCAACTCCTCAATTGATGTGCGCAAATGACTAAACATCTAATTAATAGAGCCAATTGCAATTTCCGATGTAAAAATGTTCTATTTCTATGAAGTTTCTTACCGAAAAGCATGCGTAATTGAATGGGATTATGGGAGTATTAGGTGAGGTTCGTATGGTGTTTGAAGGATGGTGGTCTATTATTTAGATAGAGTTAGTTTGAATATATGTATCTGTGTGTGTAATTGTGCATATATGTCTTCGTGTGAGACGTGAGCAGATTTTGCACTTCAAAATAATTTTTAATTGCACCTTGCTTTTTGTGAAACAGGAATGAGCAATCTTGATGGTTCAAATTTTCTTAAATGAATATTGACATTAGTTTAATTCTTACAAATGGCCTTTATGTCCGTTCATTGTGGTTAGATTCCCGGAATTTTTCATAAAATAAAAATAAAATAAAAATATGCCACATTTTGTGGTTCTTATTGAAATCAATAATCAATTGACCATGCTTGCTGACCATTATAAGACAGGTGTAGTTGAGCTTCACATTTAGATGAACCTTTGTATGAGATCACAGAAATCTTATACATCCGCTTGCGGTTCTAAAAAAAGGGTATTTGTTTGTTTTTTATGCTTTTGTCTAATGGTTTTAAGATTGTAGTGTGAATGGATAAGACTAATTTTAGGGCATACATGGAAAATTACTTCCAAGATAAATGAACAGTTAGCTACGATATACACCTAGCTCGGTTGAATCAGACTTTTAGTTCGAAGACGGCCGAGCTAATCGGGTTGGACAACTCAGGTTGCTCACCTCGGTCCTGATGATAGAGCTGATAAAACCTAGGTTGAGGTATAGGATAAAGATAGTTCGATTAGTTGACGAGCTGATACCCTTTAAGGAGGTCGATAAACCGGACTGAGGAGACCTACATGAGAAGAGAAGTGCCAGAAGGAAAGAAGTCTAACAAAGAAAGAGGAAAAATCTCAACTTGCCCGGAAGGGCATTACACTTATGGTTTCTTTGTGTGACAAGTGTCACCTTAGAGGCTATGGACAAACTCTATTTTGTTATGGACAATACCTAAAAAATATTTGTAGTTCCTCCGTGTTNTGTCCTCGACGCTCGAGCTTGGGAAGCGCCATGTGGGAGCTCGATGTGCTTCCGTCCCTAGGTTCCGAATACTCGGACTCGATCCCAAGCCCTCGAGCTTGAGAAGCGCCATGGTGGGAGCTTGGCGTACTTGCGCCCCTAAGCTCTAAGTACTTGGACTCGATTCCGAGCCCTCGAGCTCGAGAAGTTCTATGGTGGGAGCTCAACGTGCTTGCATCCATAGGCTCTGAGTTCTCAGACTCAGTCCCGAGGCCTGGATCTCAAATATGACTGGCTTAATTCTAATGCGGCGTTTACCAAATCCAAGTCGAAATCTTGACTACTCTCCGACATAACCACAAATTGAAGAGAAAAGGGGAAGAAGGAAAATTAAAGATACCTTGTTTAGCAAGACTAAGTATGTTACCATGTTGGCAATCTTTGAACCCTAGTTTTTCGCTGAAAGAGATTTGAAAATGAGAGCAAACAATTTTCGAGAACTGCAATCCCCTATAATTCTGGCCCTTCAATTGATGCACACTGATTTCATGAAACAATATCCAACGAAATGAACGATCACATCGATTTATGCGATAAGTCATGAGTCAGCACCCCCATATGCTGCCATGTGTCCCTTTATTTCTGTAAAGGCGCGCCTCACGACAGTTTTTCATCCTAATCTCTCTCTCTCTCTGCACTAAATGATTGACTGATAGAGAGTCTCATCCTCCACCAGCGGACACCAACAACACTGTTAAATTCTTGACGGATTCGACACAAAATCAATATTGACGATTTCGAACGGACGATCTCACACTTGAAGCCGTTTGAAAGAAAGGAAACATGCAAGCAGCTTCCCTGGCACCCTGCCGACTTACCAATGCCCAGTATGACCCGAAAACCTAGGGTCCCTTGTTGTATGTGAAAAATCCTTGGACTGGCCTAAGGGGTGTATGTTTCACATTACATGAACTAGCCTGAACCTATCCAAGCCCATAACTCGAGCCTATGATGCGAACATAGGGCCCCAAAAATGACAGACTAGTTCTTAGAGCTTTTGTGGATTTCTCTGCACCAATATGCATGCATACTGCTTTTGTCGATCTCTCTGCAAAATATGAATGGGGATCGAAAAAAGAAATCGCCTCACCGGTCCCATCATTAAAAGTTGAAATATGAGTCCTGTCAGCAAAAGTCAGATTTTCGCATGACAATACGTATCAACCGCCTAGCCTCTAAAGTGACATACGACCATCATTATGTTTTTGCTTTATTCATGTATAAAGGAGGTACTTAGTACCTAAGAAAAACACAAATAAACATTCCCAAACACAACTACTTTAAAAAATACACACAATCATAATTCCTCCTTATTTGTTTATTAGTACAATACCCATGTATTAAATTTGTGTTTATTAAAAAATTTATATTTAAATTTAAAAATAATAATAATAAATTTAATTTTGAAATATTTTTTTAATAACTATATTACTATTTATATTAAAGTAACACTCATCACTTATATGGCTTATCATCATATATTATAATAATTTTTTTAAATTATATCATTCAACAAATTTCTAGTTAAATTAATTTAAATAATTAAATTTTTGAATTAATATTAATCAATAATTTAATTTTTATTATAAAGATAAATATAATTTTTTATTTATTTTGTATTAATCTGATATATTATGTATAAAAAATTGTTAACTTTTAAATCTACTTATAATTTTAGTTAGTAATTTTTTCATAATTATGAAAGAAAGGTGAGAAAAAAATTTATGCTTCATAAATAACGTATAGAATAAGAAATGTAACATAATTAATGCTTTTAAAAAGGACCATAAATATCTAATACATATATGGCTATTTCAAACTTAATTATTTTTTAATTGAGAGTAAATTAAAATCCATCCAAACCAAATGACAAAGTATGAAAATTTGTCAAAAAGAATTCTGAATCATACGAGCCTGCCACTTAGGCCCAACACATTCGGGAATTTTATAGAAAAAAATGACCTAGCGGATGGTGCCTTAAATTTTAGTTTCCTAATCAAATATAATTTATTATCAAATCTAACTATTCCTTTTCATTTGAATGAGATAATATTTAAGCTTAGTTCTGGCTACTCTCTCTTTCGCGACGTCTTCCCCCAAATTCGGAAACCCCAGCTTTCCTCCCATCAGATTTGCGCAGTCTTCCTCGGCGGCGGTGCGGCGTCGGCCGGTGGTCGTGCTCGACCGTCGTCCCTCCTCTGCTGTCCCGGACCGTCGGTGTTGCCTGCGATTGTCAGTCTGCCATGCCTCTGTTTGCCGGCGAAGTTGAGAAAGGAGGAGGCGAGCACTTTAGTCGTTGACCGGTTAGCATTTGGTGGAGTCGTTACACCCGCTAGTCTCGATTGAAGGTGAGCCTTTATCTCTTTTTATTTTTTTTCTGCTCAGATTCCATTTTTCCGATAAGTGTGCGATCGAAAGGCCCTCGGATGGTTCCGTTTTTTCCGGCGAAATTCTGTCCGGGGGTTTCTTGTCCTGGTGTCGGTGGTCGGCGGTGATGTTGGCTGGTTTGTGGGTCGTGAGGAGGGATGGGGCTCTGATGGTGTGTCGGAGTTGAGGGCCCGAGCCACCCCCCCTGTTTCAGCTAGTTGTGTTAGACGGCGGGGTTCTGGCACTCCTAAGCTCGGATAGTGGTGTTAGGCGTGCTCGGGAGGTGCTAGAGTGGGTGCGTATTCGGTTGTCCTTCCAGTTGAGGCGGGTCGTTTCGGAGATTGGTTTGTGTTCGGGCTCGACTTTCTGTATAGGCCTTGTGGCAGTTTCGGAAGCCGTCCCCTGGACTTGGATTATTCTCTGACATCGACTGTTCTCCGCTGGTTCGAGCTGGCTGTTTTGCTGTGGAAGGGCCTTTCTATTTAGTTGTGTTTTTTCCTTATTTTGTTATGTAGTAGATTGGTTTGTTGTTTTTGTTTAGTGTGTTTGTCACTGTGTTTTTGTGTTTGTTGTTGTGTTTTAGGTTTGGGCCATTGGCCTCTGTGAGCCCGAGTGTCACTTTATTACTTTGTGGGGGTCCGACACTCGGGTATTACCCTGTGGGGGTCTTTGTTGTGTTGTGCTGTGTTGTTTTTTTTTCTGTGTGTTTTTAGTGTTCTTGAGTATTACACCATTGGGGTCGGTTCTAGGCGGCCTTTTGACCTATCCTCTCACTTTTCAGCTATAGGTTGCTTGTATTCAGCTGTTGGCTGTCTGTAATTAGCTGGTGGCTGCACTTTGCATATTTGTGCGTTTTATATAATATCTCTATCATTCCGTAAAAAAA